TTCAGAGGCGGTCTGTTTGGTAAATTTTACTCCAGGAGCTGCGAGGCTTGTTTTCAAGCTTCAGACTGAACTGAAGCAGCGGTTGCTGACATCATTACGCTCTTGCGCGATGCTGCATTCAGGACAAGCATGGAAAACTCACCACTCTTATGCCAATACGGTCGCAATGATGCATTTAGGTACCGAAATGGAATTGCATGAACATTCACATGGTGGTTATGTAATACAGCGAATCAACAATAAAAAATCTGCGTCAATAAATTTACATAATCGACGTCATCGATAATTTCAACTAATGGGTGCAGCCCTACTTTGAACGTGGCCAGGACGGATTTCCGTCATCTGTTAGGGAGGAGGGGAAAAAAACAACAACTCTGGTTGTTTTCTGTTGTAGAATTGTTAAACCTGCCCAGTCTACCCCTAAACGCGCCACGACTTTAAACAAACTCCAGAGCACTTTTATCCAATCAGAGCAGAACAGGGCGGGTCAGTAAAGCCTGCAGGTTTAGCAGTCTGCAGGAGCAGCGCAGCTGTCAGTCCTGAGTGAGTGAAACCTCTCCTCCCTTATTTTGCTTCTTGGACTTTAGTCTATAAAAGTTTATATTAAATATTTGTGCTCAGAGTGCCGTTATCCAACAGATATGTCCAACTTTGCATGCGTGACCAAGCTCCTCGTGCAAAGGCTGTGCGCGACACGCAACATTCAGTTTTTGTCCGTCATGCTTTTGCTCTCCTACAACATTTCACAAGTTATAAAGTGTTCTGCCACATGTCCTATTTTACTACAATAACCTAAGTGCCAAATATAAACCCATCGCTGGCAAGGATGCATCAGCGATGGTCTGCCCCATAGCAAAGATGAATCTCTGTTTAACGTTGACCTTATCATCCTCACCAGGAGAACAGCACCATGTTCTCCAGGTGAGAGCATGTTTCAAATGTAGTTTTATCATAAATATACAACTTTCATTTTTTCACTGCTTGTTTATATTTAGAACCATACTGTGACAGGGCTGCTCTGTGATAAATGCAATTCAATAAATGATCATATATGTATAAACAGTATTAAATGATTACATGAGCTTGAACAATTTAAATAACTGTTTTAAAAAATAGTAATTTAAAAGAATAAATCTGTCTAATAAAACATGTATTTTGAAGCTATTTTGTTCTGTGCACCAGACAGATATTTGCTATAATAAAATCAATCAATCCATCGTTAGTGTTCTAACAGTTCCAAACATCCATGTATCAGTTTTCCATATTTGTTATGAGTGGACCCGTCATTAAATCAGGCAAAGAAATACCTCCTAAATTCACTGTTGGTTATCAATATTTTATCTGTTTATTGGGTAAAGTTTTTAATGTTCTTAGTTTTAAACATGCAGTTGAGTGTCATTGCTTGGCACAATGGCATGTTCTGTACAAATAAAACTAAATCAAGAATAAACTAGGGGTGTAAGAAAATATCGATACACTGAAATATCGCGATATTTCATTTCCTGATACTGTATCGATATTCTAAAGCCCTGTATTGATTTTTTATTAAGGTTTAAAATGTCAACGTTCCTGCCAGCCATTCATTTTTATGTTGTAGTTCAGCCTCTGACCACTTATTGGCAGCAGTGAGCCAGCCATTTGGCTCCTCTACCTCTTGAGGTAGAGGCCATTGTTAAGTGTTGGGTGACCATATTGTAAATTAATATTAAAAACTAAAAGCAGCAAAAAATATATTTTCAAACTATTTATTGGCAAATTTAGTCTAATAATTGAAAACATGGATGAAATAAGAAATATGAAACAAATAAAATAAAARACAAACAAAGCAGAGCACAGCTAAATGTATCAAAAGTATGTCTGTGTAATATTAGAATTTTCTGAGACAATGAATTTTGGTTTTTCATTTTTTTCCCCTGTAAGAGGTTTTTATTTAATAGAATTTTTGGACAAAAAAAATCGCAATATATCGCAATATATCGCCTTGCTTATAGTATCGCAATATATCGGGATATATCGTATCGTGACCCCTCTGTCATGATATGTATCGTGTCGCCAAATTCTTGCCAATACACAGCCCTAGAATAAACAATATAAATGTAAAATGATTCTCTAAAATCATTGTTTGTGATAAATTGTGTTACAGTAATTTCATTATAATGGCTATAGCAGTGAGTTTAAAAACACGGTGATGCAACTAATTGAATGAATAATCTGTCTAATTTAGTTATTTAAGTGTTTTTATGTAGGTAAATGTTTAGGAATCTGTAAAATACACCAGAATGCAGGAAACTGCATTTAATAAATTCAAAATTTTCTGAGAGAGGACCCCCAGACCCATCACTGGTGTGCCCATCACACACATTACAGTGATTCTCATGCTCCTGGTTTAATGTTAGAGAGAATAAACCAACACAGAGCACCACTTGTGTACCTCTCTGTTGTATGAAAAGCATGGAAAACCTAACCCCTAACTGATTTTTTTTTTTTGGGGGGGGGGGGGGTATTTTTTTCCACTGTAACCCATGTGACAGTCAATGTGTTTACCTTTTTTAACGTTCATAAAGAAATAAAAACAGTAGTAAATAAAATGATGTAGTTGAAGCTTTTAGCTAAATTGCTTTTTAGCAGTGTTTGTATATTTTGAACAGCAAAAGTTGGTCACAAGCCTCTGCAACTTTTATTTTGTGGATCAAAATCTGGAAAATGTGTAAATTTTTGTTAGACTCTGTGATGATGTGTAGAATAATTCTGATTCTATTTGCTGCTGTCGCTTCTTCCCTTCAGGACCCCGCAAAGGCAGAGAGGTGTACAGGCACTTTGGAAAAGCCCCTGGAACTCCTCACAGCCACACCAAGTATGTACATACTGAATAAAAAACTCGGCGACATTTTTAAAATGAAGCCCTTCCTTAATATTTAGTGTTAATTATCTCACTCCAAGTGACAGTTTACCTTCATCTAGTCATTTTTTATGGTAGATGTAGTATTTACAAAGGCTTGATTTGATCGAATGTGAAGAAGACCAGGGGGTCTTCAACATTTTTCAGTCTGTGAACCACTCTCCTTAGGCGTGCCTGTGTATGCAGTTCTCAGTTCAGCCTCAGCCAAATGTCTCATGTCATTTCTGTTTCCAACCGTGCTTTGAGAACTACCTCCAAGGTGATTCCAAGCAGGTAGAACCGAGTATTGCATGGTTACGACTTTGACGTTGGCAGACCTCTGCCTGTGGACTGGCTGAGCCAAGGCAGAACTTGCAAACTCCTCCTAGAGAGAGGCAGGGATGAGTGCACACATTTAGAGCTGGATGTAGCCGTCTGAAATGAGCATACTTCCCGGGAGGTTTCGGATGAACTGGCCGCCCACTGTTACTCATGCAGTTATAAACAGGACCACAACTTAAAAAAAAAAAATCTTAATACCAGGCAATAAAACAACGTCTGAAGATGCATGCTGATACGCCCACAGAGTGAGGGACACACATTCCTGAACAGGACAATGGAGACGGGGCTAAAGTAATGTAGAGATGGAGCAAGGACACACCACCCCCACACCAGTTATCTATTTATAATTTATTCTAATATTATGCTTAGTACTACATGCCTTATTACTGTGCATTTGATTCTGAATGTCTAATTAACCCCCTGCAGTACCTCATGGAACCATTAAGAGTCGCAACCCCATCATGAGGGCCTCTAAACTAATGAGACTTCAAAATGCACCAGTAAATCTGTCATAATATCCCAAGATGTTTTTCATCTGTCGTGTGCTGGTTGTGTTGTGATAAGAGCTCCAGCAGAGGTTCAAAGCTTCTTCAGGAAAGGGGACACATGAACTGATCATGAAGCTCCTTCAAATATTAAAGGTGCTATCAAACAGCAGTAGTTAGGAACTCAAGTCAAATTTTAAGAGCCACTGTGGTATACAGTGGTAGACAGGAACAACAAGGTGTATTTTAATGTTTGAGCATGTTGAGCATCATCAAAACTGCATTTAAGTCAGAAACTTAACGGTTGGCTTCATCTGATATTTTAACTTAAAAAATGTTCAATGTTCTAATGGTTTTAGGGATTTTTGAGTTCTAAACCTTTTGTTTATGATATAAAGCTGACCATGTTTCAGCCTTATACACATTTTTGCCTGTAGATAGATATTCCCATTTTTAAACTAAAGACTCTTAAAGGTGAATGTGCTTGACGGATGTTATGGGAGTAAATTAAATCTGTATTTTCTCTCTTCCAGGCCCTACGTCCGCTCCAAGGGCAGGAAGTTTGAGAGAGCCCGCGGTCGCAGATCCAGCCGTGGTTACAAGAACTAGTCTGTTGTTTTTGTTTTCCGTGCAATCTGACAAATAAAAGATTGGCTGTACTAAAAACTCTGTCTTGTGTATTTTATTAAACAGCTCACACGTTTTCATAGAAAAAAGTTGGCTATTTTTAACAAGACTTTTTCCCTCTTCTGATTCTTGGCGCATATTCTGTGGTTTTAATGTAAATAAATGTTCTGATAAGCATTCATCGGTGGGCTTTTTATGAAAGCTTATCTCAGTCCGGAAGTGGTGGTCTGACGATGATTGGAGAATGTCGGTGGGAGTCAGTGTTTTTCTTACCATCATTGGGTTTCCTCTCCGCCGCTCAGAGCTGCTGCTGCCTGCTTCGTCTCCAGACGCTTCCTGCTCCGAGCCACCTTTTTTCAGTCCGAGACCAGCTCGTCTTGGAGAAGGGGGCAGGATGAGGTAAAGGAGACTTTGTTATAACTTTTTTTGGCCATAGCTTGGCTTCTAACAATAATGCCCTGAGAGTTTATTTAAAACTTAAAAAGTAACTGGCCGTCGTGTTTGTCAGAGTGGTCAGTCGTGGTCTTAAAGCCCTGGCCGGTAGCTAACATGCTAATTTGTTATGGAAATAATTTTAAAGATGTTAGCCGGGATTTGAGACGGTACGTATGAATCGTCCACTATTTTTCAAAGGAAATGCATTTGAATGGTGAGGTAAGCTGACTTTGATTTGGGTTCTAGCTCACTGTTAGCTACTGCTAACAGGAAAAATACTGACGGACCACAGTTAACATTTAGTCTGAAGTTGGATTTTGATTCGTGGCTTCCAGCACGTTCAGGTGGTAAAGGACTATTTCACTCTTATTTCACATTGGTCATCTAAGAAAACGGCCCTCAGCGAACCACAAATAAATGTACTATTTTACAGTATGGAAAACGTGGACTAGATTGACCTACATTAAATATATATATATTTTAACAAGCTGTCTTTTATGAAATGATGTCAAAAATAATGACTACATTGATCATTTTATTTTTTATACTAAAAATGTTCACCATTATACAGACCGTATTTGAGTCTGTGCATAGCGTGAGATAATTCAGTCCATGTTTTAAGATTTTTTAAAATAAGGTGGCTTACAGACCCCAAAATCAGCGAAATACCCCTTTAACCAAGTCAAACCAGAAGCAAACATCAGTGTCTTTATTCATGCTAGCTCACGTTAAGTTCGATCTGTACTTGTTACATCTTTCCTTTTGTTTTATGTGTATTATGTATCCACGTCTTTAAATACTTTATTCACTCGTATATAAAAACATTTAACAATGGTAAAAACTGTATTTTGTTTAATAGTTTTTGCTGATGTTGTTCAAGTTACCCGGCTAATAGCCTGTCCTGCTTAGGGTGGACAATATCATCAAACTTAGGACATCCGCTAAAGACCATCATACGGAAGCCGAGGGGGACCATTTTCTGCTCATAATTATTTTCCGTGGTTTTCTCGTGAAAACGACATATGTCCATATGCCGTTTTGTCGAGATAAGTTAATTTCCAGATGGTTTTCCTCTTGTGTATCATTCAGTAACCATGGAGACAGCCTTGTCTGTCTGTCTGTCTGTCTGTCTGTCTGTCTGTCTGTCTGTCTGTCTGTCTGTCTGTCTGTCTGTCTGTCTGACTGACTCAAATTGTGATGTTTGTCTTTTACAGTTATCTTTCATGTCAGCCCTCGTCATTAAAGCAGACGGCTGGCCCGACTGCAGCTCAGCAGGAGTTTACACAGTCATCTTGAACTTGTTATAATAAATATAATAAATTTTATCGGTGATCGGGTCGTCTCCATGGTTACTGAATTATAAACAAGGAAAACCGTAACTGGTTATCACGGGAAAACGGTCCTTGTTATAGCTATCACGAGATAATAGGGGTGTAAGAAAATATCGATACACTGAAATATCGCGATGTTTCATTTCCTGATACTGTATCGATATTCTAAAGTCCTGTATCGATTTTTAATTAAGGTTTAAAATGTCAACCTTCTTGCCAACCGTTCATTTCTGTGTTGTAGTTCAGCCTCTGTCCACTAGTTGGTAGCAGTGAGCGAGCCATTTGGCTCCTCTACCTCTTGAGTGCCAGAGAGTAAGGGTAGCATTAGTATTGGAGGTAAACATTTGCTTTTCTTTTGTTTTTTCAGTAAGAGGTTTTTATTTAATAGAATTTTTGGAAAAAAAAATTGCAATATATCGCAATATATTGCCTTGCTTACAGTATCGTAATATATCGGGATATATTGTATCGTGACCCCTCTGTTATGAGATGTATCGTGTCGCCAAATTCTTGCCAATACACAGCCCTACGAGATAACCAGGAAATATAAGCAGAAAACTGTCCCTCTTGGCTTCCATACCATTGGACTGCTGGTTGAGTTCTAAATGCTTCTATTTGTAAACTTAATGCCCCTGTGTTCATGAAATGACCACATCTTAACTCAACCATCAGCAGCCTTTATTGTGTGGATGACAAATTTAGCCTGTTTGTGTTATTATATCTGGGTGTCCCCACCCTGGACTTCAAGGACGAAAAGATGCAACAATGAGGCATCAGTGAGGCACATTGTAAAGTTTAATCAGAGCAGAACATATTGATTTGGTCAGCACTTAAAGCTTGCAGTGTTTCCTGACTTAACAGGCTGTTCATTTATGGTTTACCAAACTTCCCTTAGCAAATAGTCGCGTGATTTTAGGGATTTTATTCAAATCTCTTAATGATATGAACTCTGGTGACCTGAAGTTTTAACCTTTGGTACACAATAGTTTGATAAATGCCAGAATTCCTGCAGCCACATTGTAAAAAGTCCAGTTTCTTAAAACCATTACAGATTCATCAGGTTCATGTGAACGTGTTTGATAAATTGGGGGAAAAAGTTTAGCTGAGCTATATAATTGCATGTTGCTTAACCAAGAAAAATAATCCAGTTTAGGTCAGCAAACCAGATTGCGAAAGAGACACTTTGTCCACAGATCACGTCAGACGAGAGCTCTAAATATGAAAATGCCAACAAGCTGTGCTCACAGGCTTTCAACACAAATAATGTGGTGTCTCAGCAAGGCGGCTGAGGATGTGTGATTGTGAGTCAATACAACACACACACACACACACACACACAAACAAACACGCACACAAGGTCAACGGGCATGGCAGAGCCTGTATTGCTTCACCCCATTCTCACAATCTCCTCTGCTTATCTCGGGTCCTCCCTTAATGGTTACCTGCTACAGAAATATTCTCTGCTCAGTAAAGCTCAGGTGTGTTAGAGGTAAACAAGTTAAATTTGTTTAGTTACGAGTTAATATTTTTTAACTATCTGCTCTAAAAAATGTGTTCTTTTTCCCCTCATACAGGGACAGAGATGTTTGGGAGGGAACGTGAGACTTAACTCAAGGACTTTTAAAATGACATAAACGAAGGACCCGCCTGGATTTGTCTGTTTGTTGTTTGTTTTTTCTTATTGTGTTTTTTTTTTTTTTTGGCTTATTTTTTTTGTCACCATTTTCTTGCATGAAACGTTTAATTTATCGCACTACTGTCTGCTGGATTTGTCTTGTCACTCCTCTTGTTCACCTCTAATTTATCACTGAGATTTGAGATAGCAATAGACGTTTCAAAGGTCTTAAAAAACAGGAACTTGTCCTATCTCTGTGGCATTCGTTTCACTTCAGACCGCAAAACAATTTGTCCAGATTAACTTTTTCGAGCCTTCTTGTGCAAACAAGACGTGTTTTGTCTTACTGTTTTATTAATATTTTTTTATTTCAGTTAAGTGATTTATTTGTTTGTTTGTTTAATTATTTAAAAAGAAGATTTACTGTTAATGTTAATCAGCTGCTCTGCTGCCTTGAATTGTTTTACAAAAGGCAGCTTTAAAGTGAACATTTGTTTTATACTTAAGCAAATTTTGTGAGGAATGTTTCGGTTTAATTTTGTTTTGACTTGTTGCATTGAATTTTTCTGTTCATTTTAAAAAGAGGCAGGAAATTGTTGAAGCTAACAGCTGTTCCTTTCAAACTGCAATGGGAGATTTCTCATCTTCACTGGATAATTACACTTAAGAAGTGACTTTTTTTAACTGGAAGTTTTGTTTTTCTCCTTTTCAAATGAAGACCTAATCTTAAACAGACACACTGGAACAAAATGTATTTTTTTTAACCTGAAGAATGATTTTGAAGTTTTCAGAGTTTTTGATTTTTGCCTGGAAATCTTGAAGATCTGCCAAATTCCTCTCTCTTGGATTTCAGAGACTATTACTGTTAGACTGATAAACTTTGTCCACTCGAACAGCGGGGATGCGATCCCCGGACCTCTCCTCGCCATCTCCGGAGGAAGCCCTCCTTCACGGCCAGTTTGCCAGCTGGGGATCGGGCAGCAGCAACAACAAGAACAGCCGCCCAAACAGCCCCGGTGGTTCTGGAGGGCTCTCCCCCGTTGCCTCCTCCCCTCCAGCTCCAGCGTCCAACTATGCCTTGACCCTTACCCACTCCCACATCCACATTCAGCGACTGTTGCCACGGGCGGGAAATGAAGCTCGTCTCCTGCTGCCTTTATCTGAACTGGTGGGGTGCAGTTGTCCTCGTTCCCCAGCGCCGCCTCTTCTAGTGCTGTACTGGTACCCTCCAGGAAAACGACGGAAGGGGGTGTCGAGACGCAGGCAGGTCCGGGCCTACCTGGCAGAGAGCAGGCTCGAAGCGGAGAGGTGGTCAGTTGCTGTGCAGTGTTTACTCCGAGACATGGTCGTCACTGCGAACACAGGTGAGCGTCTCCTTCACCTGTAGTCCGTCTGAGCAACATGTCATGAATGTCAAAGTGATGCAACATAATACTGATGTTTCTGTAATAGAACTTTTTAGAGATGGATCATTAATGAAACATGTTGTGTTCTAACAAGAACAGGGTGTCCAACCCTGGTCCTCGAGGGTCACTATCCAGGTTTTAAAGGTTTCTCTGCTCCAACACACCTGATTTTAATGAAAGGATGATTAACAGGCTTCTGTAGAACTTGAAGAGGTAATTCAATCACTGAGTCAGGTGTGTTGAAGCAGAGAAAACAAGTAAAACATGTTGGATAACGGTCCACCAGATCCAGGATTGAGCACCCCTGAACAAAAAGTTCAAACAGTGATTAAATATCATATGAATACTTTAGTTACAACTACATTCAGAAAAAATGTTGAAATATTGCATTTTCGCTCAGATGATGACATTTCCATCAATAGCCTTAGGAAAAGTGAGTGGACTATTGAAACTGAAAAATGACCACAGTCTCCTGGCATCCAAAACAATGTCTTCAAATGTTTTTCACACATTCTGGCCCAAAGTAAAAAAAAACTGTCAGATACTTTGTAAAACTTTAAAATATTTGTTGTTTTAGCTTGAACTAAGCTGCTGCAACCTATAAAATATTTAATATGTTTCTGCTAAAGACTCCTGAGCTTTTATTCAGTTCATCTGAGTGGCTTTATTAACTGTGTAACAAAAAAAAATTGTTGTTCCAGGTTTTTGTAAAACTGACTCAGTTTGGCTGGAAGTGATTTTTTAAAATTAAATTTGTTAAAATATTTACAACATGTTGCCTGATTTAGCTTTGGTTTAGTCTTTCTTTGTAGATTGTTACTAATTATAGCTCAGTGTCATGGTGATCCAAGACCTTGTAAATACAGGAACACATTTTTGGACAAAAGGGATTAAAAGTATCAAACACTGATAAGCTGCAGAATACATGTTTTACATTTTTATTTGTTTGTTTTGTAAAGCTTCCTGAGTTTTTTTATTATTATATATTTTTACTTCTTTATTGGTCCTGCTTATACAATAAGATATTATTCTAGGTTATATTCCAGCTGACTGGCGTTAACAACTATTAAGCAAATATTAATTGGTATGCTTGTCTTTGTGTCTATGGTGTATAATGATGTGATTGTGATGCTGTATTTCTGAGTGTTTTATGCGCTGCAGAACAGGAGCCTGCTGTAAAACAGCAATTATGCTGAGTCAGGCTTGATTTTTAGTAATCTTTTCCTGTTAAATCAATAAATCAAATCAAGCATTCATTTTTGTGACTTTGTTCAGAATTTTCAAGAAGTCTGCTACCTCGACCCAGGCGACTACTGTTATTGGTCAACCCATTCAGTGGAAGGGGCCAGGCGATGCAGTGGTGTCAGACTCACATCCTGCCAATGATCAGAGAGGCAAACATCAGCTACAACCTCATACAGACAGGTGACACAGCACTGCCACCAACAGCATAACGAGCAAACGTTTTAGAACAGGCGTTGACTTTTTTCTTGTGTTTTAGAACGCCAGAACCACGCAAGGGAACTTATCAGAGACATCTCACTCACAGAGTGGGACGGCATCGTCATTGTTTCTGGAGATGGCCTGCTGCATGAAGTGAGACACTCTTGTTGCAGGTTTAGTCACTCTGAAATGTCATTTTTAACTTGTAAGATTTCCTAATATTCTGGTGTTTCTGTAGGTAATTAATGGGCTGATGGAGCGTCCCGACTGGGAACAAGCAATAAAAACACCTGTTGGCATTTTGCCCTGCGGCTCTGGGAATGCACTGGCTGGCTCCATCAACCATTACGCAGGGTGAGCAGAGCAATCACAATAAGTCAGATTTTCCAATTGGGGATATAAACCACAGGACAACACAAAGCGTTGCATTAGCAGCTAATTAAGGCTTGTTAATGAAAATATATGGATGACGTTGATGTTTTGCAGCATGTAGCGCAGTGTGTGGCGCAAAGATAAGAAGGTTGAATTTTGTTTACTTTGAGTTAAGAGTTTATGCACTGTTATGCTAGTAGATTAGATTTCCTTAACTTTGGGAGACAGCGATTGGACAATAGTTAGGTAAAATCGGTGGAAAAGATTGGCTTTTCATCTACCTCATCAAAGGTCTGAAAATCGGCCACTGTCCCCTTTTGCTTGGCTGTGAACACTACCTAATGGTAAAAAAAAAAGTTTGTATTGTTTCAAGGGTATTGTTCAATGATTTTCAATAAAATAAGATTGGAACATTGAAAATGTATTGTGACTTTATAACACCTGTCACTTAAAGGAGACCGATTATAGGTCCTAGAATTTTTTATGATATGTTCATTCAATTTAATGCACAAAATAATTCTCAGATAATAAAGTTTCCCATTTTCTAGTTCTGCCTGCTCTGACTTCCGTTCAGAATGAGTTGTTTATGTTAATGAGCTCTGTTGGTAACGCCCTCCAAACTCCGTCCTCCAGAGCCAGCGTTTACGTTAGCATGGCTACTAATAGCAGAAGCTCCGTTGTACCACCGTATATATGAGACCCTAAGTCAGACCCAGAGGCAGAGTCGTGGTCGCAGCTTTTATTTATTTATTTTCTCCCCCTTCTCTGTCGGAGCTCTGCGCTCACTCTGCATGCTGTTACTAGGGCAGGTAATTGGAGCAGCAGCGGTCAAAATACCTCAGAAACTCGAACAAATAGGCTAAAGCTAAAAACAATAGAGGTACATGAGAAAACATGTTCATAACGAACAAAAATAAATAATTAAATTGTTTGTGTCCGTGTCAGTCTCAAACCCTTGTCTCCTGCTCTTTGGTCCAACACTCCCCAATTGCCCCATTGGAAGGCTTGTTATGATTTGAGCTGCGCATTACACAACAACAACCATGACAGCTTTTTATATTGGAGGTGGAGCCTCACCCGGGGGTTGCTAGGTAATGGTGCGTTCACACCGAACGCGATTTCAGCGTCAAAATCGCAGCCAACGCTGAAGTTTGAAGCTTGTGCACTTTGAGGTCAGACGCAGGACAGCTGCGCTGCACGGCGACAGCCGCCCCGCCCCTCCCTCCTCTGTGGGGCTGTTTAATGTCGGACGAGGAAGTGGCTTTGCTTTATTTACAGAGAGCCAGAGCACGTCACGTTCATCAGATAATTAATTCATAATTAATTCACCAGATAATTCAGAGAAGAGGCTCACAGCTCGTTTTCAGGACTATTTTTTTCAGTCTGATGAGTCGCTGCCACGCATTGGTGTGGATCAGGACACGACTGCAGCACTCATTTCAGCTAAAGAGCTCCACTCTGTCTGTTTCAGGTTAGTGGACATCATTCAGTAAACTGTCCCGTCGGGAAATATGTCGCTACGTCACACAGTGGAGTCTCTCTGATTGGTTGACGCTGCGCGTCGAGCTGCAAAAGTTCAGATTTTCTAACTTCAGCGATTTGCGCCTCAGCGCGTCGAACGCTCAGATCGTTCAAATCGTTTAAATCGCGCTGCTCTAATCGCGTTTGAGGCGCCGCAGAACTTCCCGACGTTGCTTGAAGCGCGTCCACCATAGACTTTGTATGTAAACCTGCTGCTCCTGACGCTGAAATCGCGTTCGGTGTGAACGCACCATAAGGGGCTGAATGCAGGTTCCGGTGGGTTGTCGTATGGCTTGTGACATCACAAAATGTAGGAAGTATAAAACTTGTCATTAATATACATTAAAAATACATTTACTTACAGTAAATATGCCCCTGGGTGCATTTTTTTTTTTGGTCCTAGGACTGTTTTTTTAAGAAGTACACACCCAAAGTTGAGTAAAAAAAGCTTTAAAAAGTGAATTTTGCATAACTAAAAAATCGGTATTGGCCAAAATTTGAATCAGCAGGTCAGACTCTTTAAATATTGTGATCATTGGTCAGCCTGAAAACTGCAATCAGTGCACCTCTCCTTTAGAAGTCTATATGCTGTTATGAAAGGACAATTGGCTAATTTTCACAATATGTTTCCTAATGATCAGTTCAAGAGCACATTTATTTTCGTTGCTTTATCAAAATGTTTACAAAGTTGATTAAAGTGCTTTAAAATGAAGAGAAAATTTCTAAAATTATAAAAAAAATGCCTCCCCATCTCTTTCAGGTATGACATGTGCCTTCGAGAGCCCCTCCTTTTAAACTGCTGCTTTTTGCTCTGTCGAGGCGATGTCCGACCCATGGACCTGGTCTCTGTGACAACAAGTCCTGCTCCCTCCAACAACAACCATGCTGCAGTGCCCAGGAGACTGTTTTCCTTCCTTTCTGTTGCTTGGGGATTTGTGTCTGACGTGGACATTGAAAGTGAAAGGTGTTTGTTTCACTTCTTCTATTCATAGGTTTTTACGTTGATGTGTTGTATGACATTACTTCAATGTGTTACTAAGGACTGCACCACTTTAAATGGTTTCCTCTTCCAGGTATCGTGGCCTGGGATCAGCTCGCTTCACCCTGGGCACCTTAGTGCGAATAGCTTCACTTCGCTCCTACAGGGGCCGCCTGTCATACCTGCCTCCCTCTGTTGTCAACATGTCCAACGGCACACCCCCTCCACCAAAGAGACCCCTCTCCCGCAGTATAACGGAAGGCCTAGAGGGCTTCTGCAAAATGCCAATCCATCGCACCTGCTCTGACATGGGCATCAGCGAGCAGAGGAGCCTGAGAAAGGGTGACGGGGAGAGAGAAAAGGAGGAGCGGCAGAGAGAGAGGGAGAGGAGGAGGGAGAGGGCCAGGGGAAGAGGAACCGGTGTGGTGAGGGCCAGCAGTCTGGCAGAGGACAGGGAGAGAGAGATGGAACTGGAAGCAGAGGAGGAGAAGTCTGGGACAAGTTCGGAGAGGTCTGGAACGAGTTCTGAGTCGACTGAAAGGGATGGATTCAGTATGGGAAGAGAAAGATTGGCAGGGATCAAGGATGAAAGGGAAGATGAGGAAACCACAGAACAAGACTCCTGTGAGATGGAGGAGGATGAGAGGGGGAAAGATGGAGAAGGCAGCGGGGGTTCTGTCGAGGGCGACAGACTGTTGCATGCGAGGGAACTGGGAGACCGTGACAGAGTCGATATGGGGCAAGAGGCGGATGAAGAACCTGGAGATTGCATCACATGTCAGGACAGGCTTCATGAAACCAGAGAGGTAGTAAGGAAAAACTCAGCCCCTTCGAGTCAAATAGCCGACACTCTGCTCAGCCAGCCTCTCAGTCAGAAGGCCGACACAGACTCTGGCTCCTCTTACGGGGTGGAGGACATGGATCTGAATGAAACCTACTTCCAAAAAGATGCTTACCCTCTGGACGTGGCTCGAGAAAGAGCCCTCACAATCTCCTCTCCCTTTCGTCATTCTCCCTTCAGTTACAAGAAGAAGGCCCTGGACCAAAACCAAAATGCCTCCCGTCCAAGGCCCCTCTCACTCCTCCAGCACTCCAACTCAAACTCTCTCCCTCCTAAACTCCCTTCGCTCTCTTTGTCTCCCACACCACCCTCTTCCCCTTCCTGTGCATCCCCTCGCTCGTCCTCCTACCTCGTCCCCCGTCCGAACACCCCAAATTCCACCTCACCCTCCCCCTGTCTGCGCACGCCGTCCTCATCTTTCAACTTTGACCTCACCGAACCAGCAGGACTGCTTAAGAACCGTCCATTCGTCTCGCTGCCTTTTGATGTACCAAGGGACGACTTGCTACCGCCCCTCGACCAACCCATTCCCACCAGAGACTGGGTCACCGTTGAAGGAGACTTCGTCCTGGTTTTGGCCCTTTATCAGACCCACCTCGGCGCCGACCTCCATGCCGCACCACAGGCCATGTTTGACGATGGCCTGATCCACCTGACCTTTGTGCGGGCAGGCATCTCCAGAGCTACCCTGCTGAGACTGTTCTTTGCCATGGAAAGAGGAACTCACCACTCTGTCAGCTCACCGTACGTCAGCCATGTCACCTGCAAGGCCTTCAGGCTACAACCTCTGTCTACGAAGGGAACGCTCACTGTGGATGGAGAACTGGTTCCCTACGGGCCTCTTCAAGCACAGGTTAGTTAAAAAAGCAGTTTTGTTCTGAATTTACTGTTCTAAAATTTTTTACTTTGGTACTGATCTCTGATTATTCCACAGGTTCATCCTTCCTTAGCCCGTCTTATTGTTGGAGACTCTGGAGTGAAGCTGACCAGACTTTAATCTGGGATTGGGTTAGGTTGACTGACATATCAAAGCTCAGTTGAATTACTCTGTCTCTATTGCCAACAGTACTCTTAAAAGTGGTTGGGGGAGTGTCTGTGACACCTAATTTTGCCTGGGTTGCACAAAACTGCTTTTTCTAGAGGATAATGAAAGGGATATCACACAGAGCCACGCACCATTGGAAACCGACTGCAGGGATTAATAGTAAATCTGAAAATGAATGAAAAATGCGCTTTGTTGCACAGATGGAGCATGCTCTGTGTTCCTTGAAAAGCATGAAAAAAAAACAAGAAAAACACACAGCCTTGGATGATCAGAGGGAAGGATAATTGAATGTCTGGTGGGGTTTTTTTGTGCAGATTATGCATGTGTTGGATTAACGCATGCAGAGAAGCACTGATCTTTGCCTTACATTGAGACAATGAGATCAAATTCCAAGAGAGCTAGCTGTTGGTGAAAATTATCCTCGTCCCTTATCTGAAGCCTCGCCTCCTCCATTGCTTAACTGTTTAAGTAAAACAAATCTTGAGTCTTTCAAAGGAATGCCTTATCTGACACTTGTCAAGTATAGCTGTACCCTTTGCCCATTCTTTCTTACATACAGTAAGGAACCTAAACCTTTCTTGATCTCTATCCAACGATAAGATTACATCAGACAGAGAAAAGCAGAGCCACTCTTGTAATTTAACACATTAATATGTTTGAACACTTGTTCACTGTTCGCCAGTGGAGGAAATACTGTATGTTGTTATAAGTACACTTTATTTGATGCAAGTTAATCAGTGTAGATGATCAAAAACAGGTGTTTTTCAGGACTGAATGTTAATTTTTACTGACATATTTGCATTCTGCCTTCTTGTTTTAGTCAGTGGATGCACGCTGCTGATGATGTCAGTCATACTGTTTTTTTTTGCAACATACTGAACTTAAAATGCCTAAAAAAATTAAATGCAAGCTTCTTTGTCACAGCTTTTAGCCACTTTGTTGTGGTGGATAAAAAGAAAAAAAATCTGATTCACTGCCTTAGCTGTCAGCTTTATGTCCAAAAAATGAATAAGTCACAGTTATGTAGAGGGATCTACACAAAAACTGACCTTTAACACAGAAAATCACAGTAGAACGCAAACTAACCTCAGACTGGTTTTATGTCAGGAAGTGGATGCACTAATGTTAGTTCTATATACAGAATAAAATGAATCACGTTCCTTTTATTTATTGTTGTGTTTTGAACATTTATGGTTGAAATGCAGGACTGACAATTTACAAACACACACACACACACACACACACACACACACACACACACACACACACACACACACACACACACACAAAAAAAAACGAGACACTAAAACAAAGTAGTGCTGTTCTGTCTCGTCTGACTTGATGAAGAATTTTACAAGACAGAGTAAAAACAGACTGCGCTGTGAGAGAAACCAGCTGCACAGCCAGTCTGTTAAACTGGTTGTTTATTTTATTTTATTAAAACATGCTTAGAATAATACTGCTTCCAAAAAATACAAATAAAAATCAAAACAGCAGAATTTGGAAGTGGCATAAACCCTGCTGAAATACTTTGATTAAGTTGTTAGCATGTGCAATAAATTAATAAATTTGTGTGCCAACCGCGTGGATCATCATCAGCAGACTGTATATTTAAAATCAATGGCTTTGTGTAAAAAGCCTGTAAATTATGGCTGTTAATCATGAACTGTTTAAACCTGACTGCAGAAAATGGAGTAAAACTACCTTTTCTTTTCTGCTTTTGCCTTTTCTTTTTCCCCTCAAAGGGCACAATGCTAGTTTATCACAATTACACAGCTGCGGAATGTAAGTACATTTTGACTCGGAGCTTGTAATATTACTAAATAGAAAACTTTATAAATATATTTGGGATGGATTTTTTTTTTCTTTAAATGCTTCCTCTTGAAGTCGAAGAGCCTCATGACAATTTTACTTTCCTAGACCAGCCTCGTCAGTGGTCTGAGCTGGGATCATGGTGTTGGAGACCAATTTGCTACGAACAGTGACAAGTTAGAACTTCTGCAATGAAACATATCTGTAGTTAACTGCCCTGTAATGAAATGATAATTATTACTAAATCAATGAAAATGTATGCACACAGGGTGTACCAGTAATAGTTACATCTGGTTTCAAATAAATGTATCTTCATAAGTTTGTTCCTATGTGTCTGTAATTGGTCTGATTTTTTTCTCTAATCAACAAGACCCCAGTATTTAGTTATATAATACTAAAAAAAGGTCAGAAGGTTAAAATGAACTGTTGTCCTTGAATGTGCATAAATGATATTTGGACATTTACAAAATGTTTCTGAATGTGTTATATATTACTGCAAACACCTTTGAATGTCACCATCCATCCAGGCTAAAAATGCAGAATTATATTTTGTTGTATCTTTTGTCACTACTTTTGCAAAACCCAAATCAAGGGTAGGTCAAAGCAAGAATAACCAGAAAATTCATGTTTAATCTCCTCACTGGGATTTATGACCAAGCCCTGCTCTGCCATAACTTGTTACAAAGTTGCCCTAATAAAATAAATAAAAACTTGAACATATTTGATTCAAAGTAGCTAAAGGGGGTCATTGGAGTTTGACTCTACAGTCTTTATGGATTTCATTGGCCTTAATTATTTGGGCGTTTTGTTCTTGAGGGACGGGAAGATGGACTGACGGATCGGTGCTTCGTCCGGAGTAATGTTGCTTGGGTCTATTATGGTGAAGAAAGAGATGAGTCGAAAGGCAAAACTCTTGATTTACTGGTCTGTCTACATTCCAACCCTCATCTACTATAATGAGGTGTGAATCATGATCGAAATAACAAGATTCCAGATACAAGAGGCCGAAATGAGCTTCCTTCATAGGGTGGCCAGGCTTGATGATAGAGATGAGGTGATGAGCTCCTCTCCATTATCCAGGGGGTGCTCAGAATAGAGCCACTGCTTCTCATCAATAGGAGACTGTTGAGGTGGTTCAAGCGTCTATTTACAGTGGGGTGCAAAAGTTTGGGCAGCCATGTTAATTTTACTGATTTACCTTTATATTTGTAAAGGTTTTTGATTGTTTGGATAAAAAATATCAGTAAAATAAATCATATAGGGGACAAACAGTGATATTTGAGAAGTGAAATGAAGTTTATATGATTTACAGAAAGTGTGCAATAATTGGTTAAACAAAATTAGGCAGGTGCATAAATTTGGGCACTGTTGTCATTTTATTGATTTCAAAACCCTTAGAACTAATTATTGGAACTCAGATTTGGTTTGGTAAGTTCAGTGACCCTTGACCTCCATACACAGGTGACTCCAATTATGAGAAAGGGTGTTTAAGGGGTGCAATTGTAAGTTTTTCTCCTCTTTGCATCTTCTGTGATGAGTCACAGCATGTCTCAAAACAACTTTCAAATGAGCTGAAAACAAAGATTGTTCACTGTCACGGTTTAGGGGAAGGATACAGAAAGCTATCAGAGATTTCAACTTTCAGTCTCCATTGTGAGAAAATGGAGGACCATAGGTACAGTTCAAGTCGAGGCTCGAAGTAGCAGACCAAGAAAAATCTAGAATAAACAGAAGGGAAGGATGTTGAGAACAGTCAGAGTCAACCCACAGACCAGCACCAAAGACCTACAACATCATCTCGCTGCTGATGGAGTCACTGTGCATCGTTCAACTATTCTGCGCACTTTACACAAGGAGATGCTGTATGGGAGAGTGATGCAGAGGAAGCCTTTTTTCCGCCCACATCACAAACAGAGCTGCTTGAGGTATGCTAAAGCACATATAGGGCAAGCCAACTCCATTTTGGAATAAGGTGTTGTGGACTGATGAAACTAAAATAGAGTTATTTGAGCATAACAAGAGCCGTTATGCATGGAGGAAAAAAGAACACAGCACTCCAAGAAAAACACCTGCTACCTACAGTAAAATTTGCTGGTGGTTCCATTAAGCTGTGGGGCTGTGTGGCCAACACAGAGACTGGGAATCTTGAATATTGGAGGGACGCATGGATTCCAATCAATATCAGCAGATTCTGGAGACCATGTCCAGGAATCAGTGACAAAGCTGAAGCTGCACCGGAGCTGGATCTTCCAACAAGACAACGACCCTAAACACTGTTCAAAAACCTACTAAGGCATTCATGCAGAGGAACAAGTACAACGTTCTGGAATGGCCATCTCAGTCCCCAGATCTGAATATTATTGAAAATCTGTGGTGTCACTTAAAGAGAATTGTCCATGCTCAGAAACCATCAAACCTGAATGAACCAGAATGATCTAAACTACCTTCAACCACATTCCAGACTCTCATTAGAAGCTATTGGAAGTGTTTAGAGGCTGTTATATCTGTGAAAGAAGGATCTAGTAAATATTGAGTTAAGTTTTTTATGGTGCCCAAATTTATGCACCTGCCTAATTTTGTTTAACCAATTATTGCACACTTTCTGTAAATCTTACCAACTTCATTTCACTTCTCAAATATCACTGTGTTTGTCCCCTATATGCTTTATTTTACTGATATTTTTAATAAAACAATCAATGATTTATAAAGGTATATCAAGAAATTAACAAGGCTGGCCAAACTTTCACACCCCACTGTAGGAGATCACCTGGACTCCTTCCTCTGGAGGTTTTCCAAGCATGCGACACAGAGACGCTAGAGCAGACCCAGAACTTGATGAAGATATTCTAAATCATCTCTGGGGAACACTTTGGGATCCCTCAGGAGGAGCTGGCGAGTCCCTGTGGAGAGGGAGGTGTGGGGTCCTCTTCTAGACCTGTTGCCTCTGCCACCTGACCATGAGCAAATGGTAGAAGATGGATATAACCTGGATAGACCAGTAATCTGTCATTAAAAATGTTGAACTCCCACACCACATGTATGAAGAAGCTATAGTGGGGGGAAATATATATAT